TTAAAACTGTTTGATGCTAATATGTATCACGGAGAAAATAATTATCATTTAGATTGTTGGCGACGAACTAGATAATAACTAGATTCTATATACCGCCGTTTTATTTAGGGCCAAATAGGCTTAGCTGAGAAAAGCGTAATTAATTTCACATTTTAATTCAAGTGTCCGTCTCCTTGTTCATCAAAAAAGTATAATAAACAAAAATTGTATTAAAATAGCATGATTTTTAAAAATAAATCCAAGTGTCTACTTTCTCAATTAAAAGTTTAAGGCCAGTTTTTTGTCTTAAAATTGCTTAGTTTTTTAAAAACTATTTCTTGCGTAAGCACAACATTATTTCGCAATGGATTTTAAAAAAAACTTCGTTACTCAATGTCCTATACAAATTTTTTCGTGCAGTGTAGTATATGAACATTAAATATTTAAAAAAACTACATATTTTACGAGTCTTTTGAGATTGGCTTCATCAATGAATGCTAGCCAATGCCGCTTTGTGTTTCCCCGTCTATGTTTTTGAAGTCTGTGGATATTGAAGTTGTATGGTTTTCCCCTTACCTACATGTAAAAAATACATCGTAGTGAAGCGATCGCGTCAGTCAAGTTACTGCTCACAGAGCGTAGAAATAAAAGAAATTCTCAACCAATCAAATTGCGCCACTCGTGCCTTAGTCACGACGACGTTTAATTTTTAATGGCGGCCTAGTGGTTTTTTTTTTTTTTTTTTTTTTGCACATTCAAACATGTCCTGTCGTATCGTCTTGCTTCACTGGTTTCGTTTACGCTGTTGTTCATTAATTAAAAAAAAAAGATCACGTGATATGATATTGGGAGGGGGTGGGGGACAGGAGTTCAGTAACCAACGATAACGCTAAAAGGTTATAAGAAGTGGAGAGACGAATGTCTCCTAATTTTTGTTTGGTAAAAGTAAAATCCGGTGAAGGTCGGGAAATAAAGAGTTAACCACCGGGTTGCCAGATACATGGCGAGGTACACAGGTCGTTGCCAGATAACCCCGCGTCAGATCCACGCGTGGCACGGTTGAACGGTGACAGGTAGAAGTGTGACATAGGTAGGATGTTGCCAGGTAGAAGTGTGACATGGGATGTTGCCAGGTAGAAGTGTGACAGGTGGGATGTTGCCAGGTAGAAGTGTGACAGGTGGGATGTTGCCAGGTAGAAGTGTGACAGGTGGGATGTTGCCAGGTAGAAGTGTGACATAGGTGGGATGTTGCCAGGTAGAAGTGTGACATAGGTAGGATGTTGCCAGGTAGAAGTGTGACATGTGATGTTGCCAGGTAGAAGTGTGACTTAGGTGGGATGTTGCTAGGTAGAAGTGTGACATAGGTGGGATGTTGCCAGGTAGAAGTGTGACATGTGATGTTGCCAGGTAGAAGTGTGACATAGGTGGGATGTTGCCAGGTAGAAGTGTGACATGTGATGTTGCCAGGTAGAAGTGTGACATAGGTGGGATGTTGCCAGGTAGAAGTGTGACATAGGTGGGATGTTGCCAGGTAGAAGTGTGACATGTGATGTTGCCAGGTAGAAGTGTGACATAGGTGGGATGTTGCCAGGTAGAAGTGTGACTTAGGTGGGATGTTGCTAGGTAGAAGTGTGACATAGGTGGGGTGTTGCCAGGTAGAAGTGTGACATAGGTGGGATGTTGCCAGGTAGAAGTGTGACATAGGTGGGATGTTGCCAGGTAGAAGTGTGACTTAGGTGGGATGTTGCCAGGTAGAAGTGTGACATAGGTGGGATGTTGCCAGGTAGAAGTATGACATAGGTGGGATGTTGCCAGGTAGAAGTGTGACATATTGGATGTTGCCATGTAGAAGTGTGACATAGGTGGGATGTTGCCAGGTAGAAGTGTGACATAGGTGGGATGTTGCCAGGTAGAAGTGTGACATAGGTGGGATGTTGCCAGGTAGAAGTGTGACATAGGTGGGATGTTGCCAGGTAGAAGTGTGACATATATTGGATGTTGCCAGGTAGAAGTGTGACATAGGTGGGATGTTGCCAGGTAGAAGTGTGACATAGGTGGGATGTTGCCAGGTAGAAGTGTGACATAGGTGGGATGTTGCCAGGTAGAAGTGTGACATAGGTGGGATGTTGCCAGGTAGAAGTATGACATAGGTGGGATGTTGCCAGGTAGAAGTGTGACATATATTGGATGTTGCCAGGTAGAAGTGTGACATAGGTGGGATGTTGCCAGGTAGAAGTATGACATAGGTGGGATGTTGCCAGGTAGAAGTATGACATAGGTGGGATGTTGCCAGGTAGAAGTGTGACATAGGTGGGATGTTGCCAGGTAGAAGTATGACATAGGTGGGATGTTGCCAGGTAGAAGTATGACATAGGTGGGATGTTGCCAGGTAGAAGTGTGACATAGGTGGGATGTTGCCAGGTAGAAGTGTGACAGGTGGGATGTTGCCAGGTAGAAGTGTGACATAGGTGGGATGTTGCCAGGTAGAAGTGTGACATAGGTGGGATGTTGCTACACTTTTTGTAATTTTCACACATAAATACAGTACAAAAGTGTATTTTGAGTACGATTTTTACTGGATTTTCTATTGGAACACAACTTAGACCTCAAACACAGCAAAAGTAGTCGACATGTCATGCTCCCTCAATCTTATCTGTGGTCTTTCTGGTGTACCAACGGTCAGAGTTTCTTCCAGGCATCTCTTCGGGGGGGGGGGGGGCAAAGTCCAACCTCTGAACGAGATGGAATTTATATAGTAAACATACACTTTTACTAGTGTCCGCCCCCCCCCCCCCCCCGGAGAAAAAAGTCTGGAAGAAACACAGGCAACGGTTGCCGGAATGAACATGTTTTTGCTGGAAGCTTCCGATAGCTAGTACAATGAGCCGCATAAACAAACAAAAGCCTAGTCATTCAGCACACAACTACTAGTAATACTAGTACAATTGTAGCCTACTAGAATGTTATGACAAGTCTACACTACAGTGCAAAGTTCATAAATAGAAGTGAGCTCAATATGTTTAGGATAGCCGTAGTGGCCTACTCTTTTCTGTTTACTGATTAAAATTTACCTTATAGGTCTATACTATATGCAGAAGTATGGAATATTACTAGTCTACGCGTATACATTACGTAAATGCTATTTGTTGTAGACAAGACAGTTTATTGCAGTAAATATAACTAATCAATTAAATCTTACAACTAGAACTAGGCTTTGGTATACAACTGAAGTATACTAAACCTTGTAAACAAGCCTGCAACTGATACCTTTATTCTTGTTATTTTTTTACTACAAGAAATTAACATGTAATTACAATATTTCTTAGGTAAACCATATGCTAACCTTCTTAAAATGTGTATATATCATTTTTTGAGTACATTTCGATAATTAATTATCAAGACAATATTTATGTAACTCCTCATAAAAAATTCTGCCATTTTCTAAAAATCCTAAAAAATGACCATGTGCCCTGACGGTACTTATAAGTGCACTTGTAAACATCGATCTAATACAAAGACAATTTGATTAAAATTATATAACTTGAAGTTAAACGCGTTTGCTTGACTATTGTAGGTGCCAATGAAAAATAGTTGGGGTTGAAAACTTTAAAAATAAGGTAAAACAAAGGGAAATTAGGAACGTGTGTGAGAACTGTACAGAAAAATTGTGAACTACCAATCAGCATGACATTGAAAATGGCGCCACACCAGTAATTTTCAAAAAACATTGATCCCTCCGACTAACGGCGACTCAGGGGAGAATACTATTAATTACTTTAATAATTTTAAAAATTCGTATTAAATTAAAAATAATACAGGCACTTAATTAAAGTGGTACTTATATGTACCGTCAGTAGATAAAGGGCTAAAACACAAGAATCCATTTTAAACTATCACTGACTGATAATTTTATCGCTTTGTTTGATTTAATTATCTTTTTTATCGTATATTTTGCGGCGCTTTGTGATTTATTTTTTTCTTTCGTCACCTTTTAAAGTTCGAGTTTAGTTATCTAATTGTTCAAAGTACTTTTTATCTTCATTCTAAAATGTTATGATATATTTTATCATGAAATCCCAAACCGAGTTCATTGTTACATTGGCGTATATAGTGGTAAAGGGTGTTGGGTAAATTAGCACCCCAAGATGGATCTTTAGACACCCCCCTCCTTTTCCCAAATGACACTCATACGTACATAACCTTACCAAAAAAATCCTGCATACGCCACTGAATTATTCACGCTAAATATAGGCCTACTACGTCGTAGCTACTGTCTGATGAAAAGATGTATCATTCTATTTCAGCGATAATTTTTATCTCGTGATTTTTTTTGGGTGAGATAATATATCTCTCGTCTCTCACCTTATTAAACTAATATTAATATCGAAATTGAACTTCTGTTAGATATTTTACAGTAAAAATGTATTTCGCACTTTTATAAATAACTTATCACATGTTGTTGTTTTTTTTAAATAATAGGTAACGGTTTGGTGTAATATATTAAGATGCATGAAAAGAAATTGAGATTATTTTATTTTAAAGAAACCTAAAATTAGTATTCTTATGCCTAAAATAATTTACGAACACTTTGTTCCATTTAACACAAAACGTTGTTTTAAATTATTTTAAAGACGATTACGCCGTCTTATGCATGCAAACAACGTTCGGGAAACTATGCGGTGACGTGTAAATGTGTTAACCCCGGACGCTGTGTCGTGACCCAGATTCTCAAATAAAAACTGTTATTTAGTGATAAACTCCCCACATAGTAAGCACAAGTATGATCGCCGCTTTCAACACACGCGCTGTCTTAGGTTGTTTATCAGCTGCCAGTTACACATTTAGAACTTTGGGCCAAAAAAACAATTTCATGACCCGTGTTGTGCTAAAAATACATTCATTTCTACTGGATAGAAGTTAAGTTGTTAAAACCAAGCCTCGAATATGCAGTGCTTACATCTGAGAAGGAAATTAATTTAACAATAGTTAAGTATTAAATTGCATTAATTAACAACGGATTTTAACTCAGAATGTCTGGGAGCTACTTTTTATTTGTTTAAAACTAAAATTATAATTTTAAAAATAAATAATAAAGCGATACTGTTACATACTTGCGCTTTTTATCTACTTTTTTTTCACGTTCAGCTGTGGTTTAATATTTTCATTTGTTTTGGCCAACAGCATGTTGTTTAGGCTAGTCTAATATTAAAAGCGGTTGAAATGACCTGCTTGTATTATTATAATTGTATGGCGCACGAGAAACGTGGCGTTCAATGAATGGGCATGTGTCTGCTTGCTGTGCGCGAATGCCCCACTCAACCGGTCGGTGCGATGCGATAGGCCCCATTAATATTATAGATTTTTTTTTTAAATAATAATAACTTGTTAAACTAGCATCGCCGTAACTCAAAGTGGGATAGTTATTCATAGAACGTGATAATGGGTTTCCTAATAGTTTAGCTAATCGAAGACTCGTTTTCTAGTTGTGATTGGTGTGTAGTCTGTGTTGTTCATGGTTTCTTACAGTACTAAACCCGTGAGTAAAAAGTACTTAATTAAAACTTAAGTTGTTTTTTTAAAAATCATAACATAGAGTAGATCTCGATCAAGTAGCCTAGCAAAGTGTTAACATACCATTTTCGTTGTATGTTTTTTTTTTACAAATGTAATTAGGCTTAAGCATGACATTTTAAAAATCCAACCAATTAGGCTAACAAATTTAATTAACATTTTAAAACATTCATTATTTCGTATCTCTCTCCGTGATTGCAACATTAGGTCTATATGAAATATAAACATTAATTAAAGCTATTAAATTATGTTTGAATAAATACAAATAAAGATCGTGGTTGTAAATACTTGTTGATAATTTAATTATGTGTCATTGCGCGTTAAGTTCTGCTTTCAGCCGAGAAATAAACCACACACTTGTTTACAAACCGTGTAAGAAGAAAAAAGAAAACACAACAAACAAGACGAATACAGAGTTGACTTTCTTAACCCTTTCCACCCCACCTCACCTGTTACATCCATCTAAAAAAAACAAAATTTGTAACACGGAACTTTTGAGACAACAAAGAGTACTCGCTTTGATGCAAGTAATTGGCACGAAGCTTGACAATTGGCTAAAGATTTAGAAATGATGTTAGCCTTATATAACACGTGCTGAGTCACAATTTGTCGGGACATGTTCAGTTCAATTATAATCTCCAAACACCTGTTCAAAACTGGTATTTCCACACTTTTTCTATTTTTAAACCCTGTCTCACGTGTATGTGGCGTCCTGTGATTATTTTGTCAAGCTTGACTTATTGAGGCCTGTAGTTATAGATTATGTTTATAACGGAAAACTAGTGTATTTTGTCGTGATTAATGTGTCAAGCTTGACTTATTGAAACCTTGGGTTATAGGCTCCTAATGGAAAACTAATGTAGGCCCTATTTTGTGGTGATTATTTTGTCCAGCCTGAATTATTGAAACCTTGGGTTATAGGCTCCTAACGAAAACGTATTTTGTTGTGATTATTTTTTTAAGCCTGACTTATTGAAGTCTTTGGTTATAGGCTACTTAATGGAAAACGTATTTTTCGTGATTATTTTTTTAAACATGACATATTGAAGTCTTTGGTTATAGGCTACTTAATGGAAAACGTATTTTTCGTGATTATTTTGTCAAGCATGACTTATTGAAGTTATAGGCTCCTAACAGAAAACTAATGTATTTTGTCGTGATTATTTTGTCAAACCTGACTTATCGAAGCCTTGGATTATAGTGTAGGCTATTAACGAAAAACTAGTTAGTTTGTCGTTATTGTTAATAAACTTGAAATTATTTAAAAATAAACTAAATGTATATACCTAAAGTATTTTTTCTTGCACTTTTTTACCCTGTGCATGAGTGATTCGATGTTTTTATTTGTTTCCATCAACACTCCCAGTTTTAAAACTGTATCGAAGAAAACTGTTAGAACATAAATGGAATGAAAATTGAAGATCCAATTATTTGGTTTATGACTAAGCCTATGAATTATCTGATACATTGTCACGTGCTGTATTGATTCTGAAAAGTATCGATCCACGAACAAAATGACGAGACTACAAAAGTTGATTACTATCGTGACCTCCCTACCCCCATCACCCCTTACCCGGTATTTAAATTTTTTTTTATTTTTATGCTAACACGTCGCAATACATTAATGTGTACTTTTAGCTTGGTTTGAGAGTGGTACTTTTTAATGTGTAGTTTTAGCAGGGATTTAACGTGGTACTTTTTAATGTGTACTTTTAGCTTGGATTGAGAGTGGTACTTTTTAATGTGTACCATTAGCTGGGATTGACCGAATTCATTAACCGTAGAATAGGCGGATTCTTGTTTCGTTTCCCTGTGTTTTACAGGTGCACGTTTTACATCTGTTCTATATAAACCTATATTAATATATTAATAGTGCTTGGTACTAGTAAATGTTAATTTATAATGTTACAAGTGTTTTTGTTTGGGGGGGGGGGACACTGGTAAAAGTATATATTTTCTATATAAATTCTATTTTTTCTGAGGGTGGTAGACGTTCTTCGAGGGAGGAGTGGGGCGTGCATCCCCCCTCCCCCCCCCCCCCCCCCCCCCCCCCGAAGAGATGCCTGAAAGAAATTCTGAATGTAGCGTAAATCGACGTAAGAAAAAGCGTCAATATACTTTATTAGCATTGACGAAGGGAGAATTTTGAAATAGAATCTTATTGGTGCGTAATCCTCGTTAAAATGATATTTTCAGTTAGTGTCCCATAAAAATCTTTCTGGTGTATATTCGTGGTTAAAATTATAATTTCCGGTAGTGTCCCATAAAAATCTTTCTGCTGTATATTCGTCGTTAAAATTATATTTTCAATTGGTGTCCAAAGTTTGCAATACTTATGTTGTTTACTGATGGCCTCGCTATATGCTGTAAGGGATGGTCGTGACTCCCTGTTGAAGTGGAGATTTCCGCACATCCCGCGTGACGTGTTTCTCTAATCTGTCATATCACTTTCTACATTTTCTAAAATCCTAGTGGTTTTTTTTTAAATTGATGTGCGCGCGGTGCGCCCGAGTTGCTGTGTCATTTGTTTACATCACCACACTATTATCTACATCACCCCACTTTTATCTACATCACCCCACTATTATCTACATCACCACACATCTACATCACCACACTATTATCTACATCACCCCACTATTATCTACATCATCACACTATTATCTCCATCACCACACTATTATCTACATCACCACACTATTATCTACATCACCACACTATTATCTACATCACCACACTATTATCTACATCACCACACTATTATCTACATCATCACACTATTATCTCCATCACCACACTATTATCTACATCACCACACTATTATCTACATCACCCCACTATTATCTACATCACCACACTATTATCTACATCTTCACACTATTATCTACATCACCACACTATTATCTACATCACCACACTATTATCTACATCACCCCACTATTATCTACATCACCACACTATTATCTACATCAGCCCACTATTATCTACATCACCACACTATTATCTACATCACTACACTATTATCTACATCAGCCCACTATTATCTACATCACCACACTATTATCTACATCACCACACTATTATCTACATCACCATACGATTTTCTGCATCACCACACTATTATCTACATCACCACACTATTATCTGCATCAACACACTATTATCTACATCAGAACACTATTATCTACATCACCCCACATCTACATCACCACACTATTATCTACATCACCCCACTATTATCTACATCACCATACGATTATCTACATCACCACACTATTATCTACATCACCCCACTATTATCTACATCACCCCACTATTATCTACATCACCACACTATTATCTACATCACCACACTATTATCTACATCACCCCAATATTATCTACATCACCCCCACTATTATCTACATCACCACACTATTATCTACATCACCACACTATTATCTACATCACCACACTATTATCTACATCACCATACTATTATCTGCATCACCTTACTATTATCTACATCGCCATACGATTATCTGCATCAAATTATATCGTAAATGTTTTTATTGTGGTGCCACGCAATTAATGCGGGAATCCAATAAATCAGTGTGTAATGCCATGTCGTTGTTTACGTTCTTAACTTAACGCTATGTATAATTAAATACCCCAGCTGAAAATGAGCTTTTTAGGATTTTTAAAAATACTCCTTTTAGCGCCCCTTAGGTTCGGCACCCGGGCAGCCGCCCCACCCACACTGTCCTTGATACTCTACTGTATATTACTCTTGGAGACTGGGTCAATAACTATAGAGCTGTTTGCGGGATTCGTTCGCTCAATGTCTGTCATTAAATCAGTTGTCCTTGAAATTCGTTGTCGTTAATTAAATGTCGTCAGCTAATTTGGTGGTGAACTAAATGTTCTGTCGCTTAGTAAGTTGTCCTAGGGCTATCTATTCACTGAACTAAATGTTCTGTCGCTAAGTCAGTTGTCCTAGGGCTAACTACTCATGAACTAAATGTTCTGTCGCTTAGTAAGTTGTCCTCTGTCGCTAACTCTGGTTCTTGAGCGAAATGGGCTTAAAAGTACCAGTCTCGAATAGACCCTACTGGCTGTGGCCGTATTTTTACCTGGAGATCTACAGTTTAGAAGACACGTCAGCCAGTCCTACAGCTCACACAAGAAACAGGTTGCGCTTTCCAGCACCGCTTCTTCTCAGCCCCGAATTTATTTTTAAAAAAATGTTCATACCTGAGAAAATATATTTAGTAACCTGCGTTGTTTTTTTAGCCTATTAAACGGTCATCTCGCAATAAAACAAAATTTTCTGTAGAGCTACTTTAGCTTTGTTTTCGAATTGAAATAGAAAATGTATGTTTCGGTTTACATTTTCAGTCGGCAGTTTTACCTAACATATGAGCTTCACGTGATGTCCGCGTTCTGTTTTTTTAGCGCAATTTCCATACTGACAATTGCGATTATTAATTCGTTATTTCTGGATGGATGGGTGGATGGATGTGTGTCCGCAGCTTTAAGTCGTATCTCCTCCTCAACGAAGCAATATCGAGGACTAGTTCCAAAAGCAAATATGTTAAGCAAGTTCCGAGGATGATTGTGGGCCAAAAAAATTCCCGGAATTCCTTCCTGGATTTCGCGGAAAAGCCGAAAAACCTCGAAAAATGCAGTTTTTTGGCCCATATCTCGGCAACCAGACCACTTAGCGACTTGAAACATGTACCAATTGATTTCTGCCATAATTTAGAACAATATTGCCGAAGAAAGTTTTCAAAAATATCCTTTCGTTCGGTCACAAAAAATTAATTAAGGAAATTGCGCTTAAATTGTCACTAGACTTTTTATTAACTTGTTTCCCATACAAAGTAATAAAACGTGTCTATTTAATTTTCTTTCACATGATCTATAGAATGAAATAACTTCGCTTTAAAAGCGTCTATTTAATTGAGACGAACATCATTATGTAAA